TATTTTGAGTGTTGGATAATTCTTGCTGGATTTTCGACGAACAAACCTGGAGACTGTTACGTTACCTATGCGATATACATACATGTAGGGATAAGATTATAATTAGTTTTTTAGATGACTTTTAGTGTGTTTCCAATAAGTAGCATGAATTCAGTAGTCTTGCGATGTGACATGCAATTCAAAGAAATTAAGAGCATGATAAATTTGAATACAAATTTGAAAGTGTCTGTTGTGCAGCTGTATGTCGTTACCGAAGTAATTTTCTGCGTAAAACTCGAGCTCGATCTTAGAACTGCGCCAAGATGTTTCGCGGTTAAGTACCCGTAAAACGGCTTTAATGGCTTCTTACCATTTACGATTTTTCCTTATGAATCTTTGGCCATTGGAAGATTGCGTAATGAGTTGGAAAGCATATGCTTGGTTTGGCGATGTTAGATTGGAGGACACGGCAGTTAGGGTAGCCGTAACTCTTGAAGGAAAAATCTTATATGTAGCACCATTCGAGAATGCATTTTGAAGGATAATAATAGTACTAGAAAAATAGGCGAAATAATTCCAATCGAGTTTTTATTACATAATAGGAAAATCGTCTTCTGCTTTTAGCTCCTTATTTCGGTTCTTTTGAGCTGATTCCTTTTTGAAATTATATAATTCTCGGGTTTTTTATTTTTCTAAGTAATCCTTTTCTTCTGAGCCTGTATAAGTTAGAAAGAATAAAAATTTTGGCTATGCTATGGGAGAATAAAACGTTGAATAGCTTACACAGTTGCTTGTAAACTGAGCCCTAACTGAGCTTTTAACTAAATAAGAAAAAATGTTACCTGAAAATTCAATTAGTAAAAAAGACTGTACGTTACAAATAGCTTTCCACCCAAGATTATGAAGAGTACAGGGAACTATTTTATTTTATTGTGAAAGAAGGCCGAAAATGCTCGCAGAAAACTAGATTTTCCCTTTTTTTAGCCTTGTGGATTCCGCGCAAAAAAACTTTTTAATATTTCAGACTGTTACATTACATTAATAAATACTGCCGACTTTATTTTCATATCGAAAGCTAATCGCTGATTTTTTTGTCGAATACTTTTTTTTTTTATTAACTTCAAAGTAATACAAGACAAGCAAAGAGAAGCAAGTAAATGCAAAAAATACTGGTCATTAAATATATACTACCCTTTAGTTCAATTTTCGTTATTTTACAGGTGTCTCAGGATTAAGTGAATTTTCATGTTTGAGAGAAGGAAATTCGTGTTAATATTTATGTTGTCCGATACCTAAGAATATGTATGATCCATATATAATAAAAAATCTGGGAAACCTGGGAAAAAATATTTTTTCCCTTGGTTTCGTTTTCGGCGATTTGGGTCATATGCATTACTTCGGCTTTTGTCATATACATTATTCCGGTTTTGAACCGAAACTGTGCATGTATGCATTACTTCGTCTTTATTATATGCTTTAATTCGGTTTTCAATCGAAACTGCATCTATGCATTATTTCGGTTTTTTTCATATGCATTATTTCGTATGCACAGTTTCCATATGCACAATTTCAGGGTGCCTCGCAAAATCGTTATTAAAACAACAGATTTGTAAAATAATGGCTAGACAAAATACCGCCTATCAAGGCAATGCCTTCAAAAAATCGTTTTTTCGTTCTTCTGTAAAATTTCAGTGCCGAAAAATTGGCGGTTTCGCAATTGGTCGATGGGCACTTTTGCAAAAACATCGAAGATATGATTCATTACCTCTCCAACGAGTAATTATAGCAAGGAATAATGATCTTATAAGGATTTTTTCATCCAACTTGGCAGTTTTATCGATATTTGCCACGCCAATAATTTTTAAGAAGGCAATTTTGTTAAGTCCATTTCTGTCAGTTATAGTATGAAATTAGGCTGTATGCAAAATTTTAGCCAAATCGAAGGCCACTGAAAACTTTTTGAAGTTTAGTGCACTCTCTGCAAGCTTTGAAACTTTTATTTTTAATGAAAATTATTAAAAACAAATAGATAAGCAAAAGTTCCAAACGATACCATTTTAAATTTTGCTACTATTTTATTTTTCGCAGCTTTACATACACATGAATACTGATCACATAATCATTATGCTCTATTTGTAATTTTTAGGGTACCTCTGGGGTTGGCATGCTCTTGCTATCGCCTATTGGGTCAAAGTAAAACTTGTCGTAGTGGGCTTCTTCGTCGGCAGCGCAGTATTCGTCGCCCTACGGTATGTCTGGCCAAATAAATGTTCTACTGGGATTGTACACGACTCACCCACTATTGTGTACGACCGCCCGCCGTAAGTGAATTTATTTATTAAATAAAAACCAATTATGTATTGCTTTTTGATTTAATGTGGTTTTTTTTTTGTTAATTTCTTAGTCCATCATTTGCTCACGATCATGTACCATATTCTCTCGACCATTCGCCCCACTTCGATCATTCCTTTAGTAGTTCAGATTCAGTTGACCCTTACTCTGGCTACGCCGGTTCGTATTCAGAAGATATAACTGCTACTGCAGAAGTGGTACCGTCAACAGGGCCAGCTACACATCGACTTGGGCGACGAAGTGTGCGTCAACAGATAAATACGTCACAGCATCGGCAACAAACAGAGCGACCAATGAAAATGGAGGAAAGGTACATTAACACATTTTAGTTCGGAAGTTAAAATCCTAGATTAAAATTTATTTTATTGTTAGGATTGCAGAATTAATGTTTGAGTTTTTGGGCTTGGATTCACAAGCTTGTCGCCGACGCTTTATTTGTGAAATGGAGTTCCGTTCCCGTTTGAATCCACTCAGCAACATGGCTTTCCGTATTGTAGGTCGTGGATTTTTCGAAAAATATCTGAACGCAAGAAATGAAAATGACCAAGCGCATTCGTTTACGGAATGTGCAGCAGTTAATCCCGAGTGCGTATTTATCGAGCAAAACGTGGACGAAGATATTACATCCGCAGGTCAAAATGGGTTGAAACTACAGAGTGCGGCTGTTGAAGCAGCTAATAAAATTGATGGTAGTTCAGTGGAAAGCGAGAACGGAATGAATGAAGAAAGTCAAAATGAATCGAATCTGCAAGCCGAACTTCGGCTTAAAAAAACAATTTAAACACATTCGTGAGCAGCAAAGGATGGTCTCCTCTACGCACGAAAAGCTTTAGACAAATTAACTTTAATTAACTTTAATATTTATTAAGTCTAATATAAGAATTTTATAATTCTATCCATAACATCTACATATGATATGAGGGTCATCAAATTAGGCCTTAGATCAGGGCTGGCAGTGCATCATTCATCAACAAGCTTTGTGATGTTGTGGTTGTAATATAATGGTCGTAGTCACAAAAATAGTGATAGGCTTATACGTGGTTTGCAAACTTAATGGTAAAAACCATATATATTTGCCAGAAATTATTGAATTTTAACGTAAAGTTTGAAGGCGCTAATAATTGGACATTAATTATCTCCCAGAAATAGTCAGAAATAGTCCGAAGTAGTCAGATTTAGTCAGAAGAATTTTTGCTGGCAAAATCATGAAAAGTGTCAAACTCAACTGAATTCAAATTAACGGATATTAAAGAATACACGAAAAGTGAGAATAATCTAAGAACTAAAAAAAGTGAAGTGAAAATGGAAGGAGGCAAAAATTTAATGATATACATATCTGTGTTCGTATGGAAAAGTAGCTTATGTCGAAAGGCTGGCTTTAGTATAATACGGCATTCCCTTTATTCTTTAAACGACAAAGATTTTTTTGATGAGACTTAATAAGAATATTGACTTGCTAGTATCGGAGCTATTTTTTGCACGTTTATTTGCCAAAAGTTCTCAACGGCTCACCGCCAGTGAGTCATTCGGAATCGTATGCTGCGAATGCCGATTTATACTAAAGCCAGCCTTTCGACATAAGCTACTTTTCCATACGAACACAGATATGTAGTAAGTTTTTAATGTGCTTGCGCTTGTGTGAATGTGTTTTGTGCATACATTTCTATTCTTATTAGACGTTAGTTTTGTTGTTCCATTCTTTGGACTAAAAATTTGGTTATTTGCGTTCCTTTACTTTTTCCTGTTATTCCCTTTTAGTGAGCGCATTTTGTCAAAAGGTGTTCGCACGAGGCGATTTTGCGTTCAACTCACGCAGGGTTGCACGAAAAGAAAGTTGAATGGCTAAATGTAGGCTGGCGACCAACTTTGTTGAAAGCGATTAGTTGAAAGGCCGTTCAACCAAAAGTAGAATGCAAAGTTGAACAATGCAAACGCCTTTTTATGGCGAATATTTTGATATTTTTTTATATTTTGATATTTTTAGCCATTCAATTTTTTTCGTGCAACCCTGCGTGAGTTGAACGCAAAAGTTGCCTGAAAAATCGCCTCGTGCGAGAGCCCTATTACCCTCTTGCATTTTGACACTTTTCAGATTTTAGTCAGAAAAGATAAGGAATGGACCTAATAAAACTGTTATAATTATGACAGATCTCATTTGAGCTTTTGAAAGTTTTTGGTAAAGATATTGTTTCAAAAATTACATATATTTCCCAAACTTAAAATTTTTTTTACCCGATTGGGATTTACATGAAAAACCAGACCGATCAAGAGGCACCGAAGTCTTCTTTGGTAATAAATTCTAATAATAAATTTTAATATTTTTATTGAGCTTTGTACCACGATTGTTTATTAGGACAAATTGAAAAAGCAACAAAGTCTAAGCGGTAGAAGTTATAGCACTATTTCGGAGATCACCACATCTCCTCATCAGACTTCTTTTTTCTAGACTTCAGCAGGGATCGAACCTGCGTAATCGATGTTCAAAGTCGGAAGCGTTAACCACTGAGCTATGTACACCCCGTAAACTGTTGTTGCTAATTTATTTTCCTTATTCAACCAACTACTATCAAGTGCAGCTGATTTGCCACTATTTTATTTCTGTCATTGAAGAATTTTCATCGAGGTTTTCTGAATTCAAGGAGTTATCGGAAACACTCAAATTTATTATGTATCCTGCTGTGACTTCACTTGGTTAAATGAACTTGTCTAAATTTCATGAATTAGATATCGAAGATTTTGAAATGCAGCTGATTGGGTTTCAGTGTAATTCAATATGAACTAAGAACTTTGTCAAAACAAGGAGAGAGTTAGAGTCAATCGAATTAGAAAAACCATCACCCAATTTAACCAAAAATTTTAGAAACTTCGAATTAAATTTCAGACTATTAGCTGTCTGCAGAAGCTGGCATTTGCTTGATAAAATTTAAACCTGCCTATGCATTTGAGTCCTCACCACCTACCACGTAAAGTACACACGAGACATTTAACGGCGGATTCATCGTTTTAGTTCAGCACTTTTCTCTCCCAGAGAGAAGAAGAGTTCAGAACTAGAACGATGAATCCGCCTCAAGAGACGCTTAATTGATTTTTGATAATTGAAATTTTGTGCGATTTATGTGTCAATTAATGTATCCACGAACGGTGATAAGTCCTGATTTCTTGTCGGCACGTCATGGATACATTGAATATTTCTTTGGAAATTATGGCACGTATATATATAAAGGTTCGCCGGCCCTGCCTTAGAGTATGTAAGAAAAAAATGTTGGTATTATTGGTTTTCAATATATCCTTTAGTATGATTAATACATTTTTGCATGCCTATGTATGTGCGTTCAAAATAATCTGTTTAGCATTTTCAAGCAGTGAAGGCATTATTTATGTACCTCAAAAACATGGTTTTCTAGTGCCAAATCAAGACTGTACGGCGGATGATCCATCCATTCGATGTTTTGAGTGCTTAAAAATTAATTTGTTTGACTGGATGTGTAAAAGCTCGCATTGGCTAGATGAAATACTATGCGCCAATTTTTCAGTGCCAGTTTAAATTTAGATTAAGTAAACTGACTTCAAATGATCTTAGTTTAAACCAGCCAGATCGGGCGTTTAAACTGAGTTTAAACTACGGCCGTGCATTGAAAAACTGACCCTATTTGTTGTTGTTTTTCCTCAATTCGTTCAAACCTGTTGCCAAACAAATGGTTGTGTGCCGCTCGAAATGAACTGCCCTACATTCCTCTAAGATCACTATAGTCAAATGACCCGTTATTACAAAGAAACAAGAGACCATTTGTCTCGAAGTGCTTCTCGCGCACACTTTTTTTTTTTTCCTTATTTTGAAAGCTCAATACAACGGATATGATTTTGTACAAACACCGCCAGTCACTTGAATAGCGCCCCCTCTTGATACTCAGTATTGACAGTTTCGCTTTTGTTAATTTAATATTTATTAATTTTTTATATAAGTATAACATATTCTATAAAAAAACGATATATTAACATAAATCCATTTTCAAAGTTTATACAAAATTTATAATAATTCAACAAATATTCAATTCATAAAAATTTCAAACTCTTGTTCAAGGTTTGTTTTTAATGGAAGAAAAAGCGAAGCACCCTCGGCAAAAAAATCAAAAATCAACGCGATTTTTTAGAAACTTAAAGCTTGCAGATTGTTATAACAAAAATTACTGGGGTACAAAAATATTTAAGTATTGATGAAAATTTATTGAATTATTATTATTATATAAATTTTGTAAAGTTTGTATTGTGACCGCAAATTCCACAGGCAAACACCGATGGCCTACCAACAGTCATTTTGACGAGCAATATTATTGCAATTTTTGTTTGTGTTGGCACTTTGATATTATTTATAATTTTATATATTGTATTTTTTTACTCTTTCTCTGTATTTAAATTAGAAATTCGTTGTATTGTTAAAGATTATATCTTATTGTACTTATGCTTATACATTTAATAAATGAAATGAAATACTGTCCGAAAATCGGTTTAACATATATAGTTTATGTTATAGAATACATATATGTATGTTATATTTTTATAAAAAATAAATGAATATTAAATAAACGAAAGGAAAACTGTCAATACTAACGATCAAAACGGGGCGCTACTCAAGTGGCCGACACTGTATATCCAAGTTATGTAACCTGTTGCGATGTGGTTTAACTTCCTTGACATGTCGGGCTAGTATTTTTGCATCGTTTGTCTAACGGTCAAATGTTCATGGATTATTGTATGAATGGTAGGAGCGTGAATGCCTAGCTCGCCTTAGTTTCACTATATGCCACATGACGATCTTCTATTATCGCCCTGCGCATAGCGTCGATGTTTTCTGATGTACAAAGCGTTATTGGACGATCTTCTCAATGTTCATCGGCGAACGAAATACGACCACGCTATAATGCATTTATACGGATCATAAACAGTAGACCTTGATAGCATTTCATCACCAAAGGTCAAAACACGTACATCTATGCACTGTTGTTTGGTTAAGTTATAAACAATCAACAAACAAAAACTATCTATTGAAATTTTAATTTGTTTGATAAAAAATTTAAAATCTTCGATGCGAACATCAGATGTACTTAAATGACTAAATGTCTTGCAAAATCTAAAGCCTTGTTTAGTGACCGCCGCATTAAGTAAACTTGCCGTTTTATAATCAAAATACACACAGCTATTTTTATGTTTTTAATAGTTTAAACAAAACTATTTATTACTTTAACATTGACTTACTTAAAATACTTATTTTCTTTTCACTACCCCATACCACATTTAACTCATCCCAGTTAAGATCCAAGGTTTATGCAAGTTACGCATTGCGCGGTTTCTTTATTTATTACTCACCCTCCTCCTTCACTACTTGTGACTTTACGAGCTGTTTTGAAACAAACATGATGTCATCCACAGAGCGATTATTTTTGTATAGTGCAGCAACTTTGTTTTAGATTTATAGATTTTGACTAAGGCCTATATTTTTTTGGATTTCTTCTTTGTGACTGCATTTATTTGTTCGGCCATTTTTTCAATTTTCTTTTGATTGATTGGTTCAGCATTGCGTGGTTCCTTTTTACTATTCTGTTTCTGCGTCTGTGCAATGTCATTTAATTTACTCCAGGCAAAATTAATGAAATCCAT